TTAAGAGTTTTTAAGAGTTTTAGCCAAATGCATTATAATATAGTATAGATAATTGTTTTTGTAAAAAAAATACTAGTTAGTTTCAAAAAAGCAAACTGCACAAAAACAAATTCGGTATTTAATTTTAACGTCACTCCCTTAAACCCTTTGTTTCCAGAAAAGGGCCTTAAACCCTATTCTCTGGTCGAGAAGTCGCTGAATTTCCGCCGCTTCAACAAAGTTCCCGGCAACAGTTTCCTCACTCTGGCACCCTTCCCATTCATCTTCCTTCACAAAACCACCGCAGCTATCCATCACTGCAAAATATTGGCTTCCATTTCTACCGTAGCATGCTAGCCAGGCTCCTTTCATTGCCGCACCTCCGTCTCCTTAATTCGTCTTCACCCCTCGTAACCCGTTTCGTTATGAAAACTAACCCATCGTGGTTATCATCATCAAAGGGAAAAGAGGTTTTCAACCGGGTGTTTCCTCACAAACTAAAGTACCAACCTCTGTCATCATCTAAGAAATTAGGGCTCCCGAATTTGATGACGGCAGCTCAATCACAGTTACAGATTTCGACAAGGGCTTCCAAACACGGGTCTGAAACTCGAGCTTCCAAGAGCTTAATTGAGGATGAAGCTGAGCTTAGTGACTGGGTTAGTGACTTGAAGTCTGACTCGTTTAAAAAATCTCGATCGTATAGCGAAAGCGATGATGGTGGCAATGATTGGAGGGGCAGTAAGGGTTCAGATGGGAAGAGGAAGCGAGATAGCGATTCTGATGGTTATAATGGCAGATTAGGTAATAGAGATAGAGGAGGAGGAGGAACTAGGGGTTCCTTTCATGGCGATTCAAGGGGAAAAGGGCGGTCTGGTGGTGAATTTGGAAGGAGAGACGAAGGTTTTGCGTCCAGAAGGTTCGAAAACGGTAGAGGAGGGAGGGGTTTAGATAATTCGAGAGGGAGAGGACGAGGAGGAGGGCGATTTGGGGGTGAAGTAGAGAGAAGTGATAGGTTTTCTCGTGAGGGGAGTAAGGGGAATCCGTTATCTAAAGGGAAAGATAATCGTTTTCTTGGCAGTCGAAGAGGAGGAGGTGGTAAGAGCATGAGTAAAAGAAGTTTGATGACGTCTGATGAAGACACTGTCAGCGAAGATGATGAAGAGGAAGAAAAGAATTTAACAAATAAGTTTAGAGAATTGATCAGTGATGAAGATGATGATAGTGATGACGATGATGATGAAGATGAGGTCTTAGGAAATGGACCTCCAAAACCCCGATTAGATATCGTGGATGGTGCATCGAGTTCACCAAAAATTTCTCCTGATGGAAGTGAATCCTATTTGAGTGAAACAAGGTACATTATCTGAATTAGTTTCTGATGGTGAACTTATGTTATTGACTTTGCTCGTTTAGTGTTGATCAAGAAATTGATCCATCATACTGTGTTTATATACGAATCTATAATTATGAAATTGGTCCATTCCAACTGTCAAAGATTGGGTAGGCCAAACTAGCCTTTTTCTGACTTCTGAGTAAATGCATTTGAAATTGTTACAGGTTTGATCAATGTGCAGTTTCGCCGCTCTCTTTAAAAGCAATTAAGGATGCTGGCTATGAGAAGATGACTGTGGTACAGGAGGCAACGCTTCCTGTCATTCTCAAAGGTGTGTATGTACTGAAACTGATGTGAATTTGAGGAGCCTAAATAGCTCAATGATTGTCTATTCAACATTTGAACTTTGAAGTCAAAAGGACTTACTTTTAAGTTAGATTGATATGGGTTCATCAACTATTCAAGGAAAGAATGATAATAATTAGCTTGAATCTTGATTTGAAATGCAATTTAGGTTTGACCTCTGAAGTCAAACTGGACTTTCATTTTTTGTAATGGTTAGAGTAATACTAATTTGAGTAGCAAAGGTCGATATACAATGATGCTTGTTCTAATTGATGGAAACTTTTCAGGGAAGGATGTCTTGGCTAAGGCTAGAACCGGTACCGGAAAAACCGTTGCATTTCTGGTAAGGCCATGCCACTTACGGTTTTATATTAGTTTTATGTGTTTCATTGATGGTAGAATTTTTCTTCCACTAATTGCGAAATCAACTTTTGGATATAATATTGAGCCTAATTAGGATCGGTACATTGGAACACTCTCATGGATCCAAAATTCCCAGGAAACTGTTATTCTTGAATCTTGATAATTAGGCATATAGTTATCCTTCTTTCCTTGAATTCGTATTATGGGAGGAATCATTTTATTTATTTAGTTATGTGCTATCATATTCATGAATTATAGAATAAGAATCCCAACAATGACCTATGGATGTAAGCAAATTGCTGAACCATGTAAATATTGTTTCTTGCAAACGTGCTCAATTTTTGATCCTAACACCAACTCCTGCAAAAGCAGATTTTGATTTTGTAAAATATATTAATTTCAGCTGCCGTCAATTGAAGTTATTGTGAACTCAGCAGCTGTTGGGCGTGATCAAAAGCGGCCTCCAATTCTGGTTCTTGTCGTATGCCCTACTAGAGAGCTTGCAAGTCAAGCTGCCATGGAAGCTAATAAATTGTTGAAATATCATCCGTCCGTGGGTGTTCAAGTTGTGATTGGAGGCACCCGACTTGGTCTAGAACAAAAGCGCTTGCAAGCAAACCCATGTCAGGTCCGTTATTTAATTCTCGATGTACTTTTTTAGAAACCACAGCTCAAAATTTGTAGCAGCGGATTCTTATGGTTTTTGTTGATTTGAATATCAGATCCTTGTAGCGACACCTGGAAGGCTGAAAGATCATACCGAGAATACTGCCGGATTTGCCACGAGGCTAATGGGCGTGAAGGTCTTGGTTCTTGATGAAGCTGATCATCTATTGGACATGGGATTCCGCAAAGATATCGAGAAGATCATAGCAGCTGTCCCAAAACAGCGGCAGACACTTTTATTTTCGGCCACAGTCTCACCTGAGGTCTCTTTCTTTGAATTCTAGTGTGTTACTTCCTTATATATTGTAAATTTCTCACAAGAAGTATCTTGTGATGTGAAGGTTCGTCAAATTTGCCATATTGCTTTAAAAAGAGATCATGAATATATCAACACCGTGAGAGAAGGTAGTGAAGAGACGAACACACAGGTATATATATATATATATATATATATATATGTATATATATTATTCTTCTCTAAAATGTTGGTTAGGTTTATCTGTTGGAGCTATGACATTTATTTAGTCCATATTTGTTTCTTTTTAGGTCCAACAAATGCATTTAGTTGCTCCACTTGACAAGCAATTTTCACTAGTCTACACTCTCCTCAAAGATCATATTGCAGATGATCCCGACTACAAGGTATGAATTCACTTTTTTTTGTGAATATTGAATCTAACTTTGGAGGAGTCTTGATGAATTAAACCTTTTTCATTCGATCAATTTTATCTTATATGGTGTTTATATGCAGGTTCTTGTGTTCTGCACGACTGCAATGTTCACGAGACTCGTTGCTGACCTACTTGGTGAGCTCAAGTTGAATGTCCGAGAAATACATTCCAGAAAGCCACAGAGTTATAGGACTCGTGTTTCAGACGAATTCCGAAGATCAAAGGGTCTAATTCTGGTAACCTCTGATGTGTCTGCACGTGGAGTCGATTATCCAGATGTAACACTCGTTATTCAGGTAGCATGTTGCTCTCAAGTTTGGAATCAAGTGATGCCCAAAGCTTGTTGATTTTTTGTAAAACCTTATGCACTTTTAACACATTTTAAACCAAATTAAGGACCAGTTTGTGATCCAGTATATACCAAAACTTGCAGGTTGGCATTCCGGCTGATAAAGCTCAGTACATTCATCGGCTTGGAAGAACTGGACGGAAAGGGAAGGAAGGCCAAGGGATACTGTTGTTAGCCCCCTGGGAAGAATTTTTCTTGTCAACCATCAGGGACTTGCCGATTTCCAAAGCTGAGTTGCCTTTGGTAGATCCAGAAACAAAGAAAAAGGCAAGTTTTTGAACCATTTTATTACAAACGAATCATCGGTCTCGCAAGATGCAATTAGAAGATAATAATTATGCAAGGAATGATACTTATTTCAAAATGTACAGGTGGAGAAGGCATTGGCTCATGTGGAGATGAAAAACAAAGAATCTGCATATCAGGCATGGCTTGGCTATTATAACTCGAACAAAAAAATTGGCAAGGACAAATTCCGACTTGTGGAGCTCGCCAATGAGTTCAGCCGAAGCATGGGGCTCGACAATCCACCTGCAATTCCTAAACTTGTTCTTGGCAAAATGGGCCTCAAGAACGTCCCCGGCTTGCGCTCGAAGTAACCTAAATCGAGAAATTTTGTTTACTATTATAGGTGTCTGCAAACCGTTACGACAAAATTTTGCAGTTTTTACTGGAAGTAGCATTCATTTTTTTATCATGTCAATCAATCAAATTTTGTTCCTATTCTTCATATACCATCTGTTTGTATCTATCGATTGTACCGAGTTAAAAGGTCTTGCTTTCACGTCATGGTCATCATTGTCTGTGCATCGGTCGGATGGCATGCTTTTTCTCAAAATATCAATGTTTGTTCCTATCACTTTACCGTTGTATTCTACCAGAAGACGTGCATATGAACGAAATAGAAGACAATATAAACTAAAACTAGTTCATTTGATTCTTCTATGACCATTAAATTTATAAATAATACACAGTGAACAGCAACAAACATTTAGCAGGGTGGATGCCTAAAAAAATTCTACATCTCAGAAAAGAGTTTGTGATAAAAGTACATATGATTGACCTACAAAATGGAAAGAAATACCATCCACCCCTAACCCTGTTGTTGATAGAACATGAATCTTTCCCAGTTTACACACAAACATGTTACAGTCATTCAAATACCAAAATCTCCCAACTTTCGTCATCGTCATCTATTTGTTTCTGTCAGAATCTTCACCGTCAACTGATGATCGATCATCTTCGTCAAGTGATGTGGGACAGAATCAAACCCTCCTGTTATCAACACTAGAAAACCTAAATATTATACTTACAACAAGACTTCCCAACTCCTAAAGTATGCAAATTTCAAATTTTATTAGAGCAAAATAGTTTACCTTTGATGACGGGGTGACGACGGCCGATCTGGTGAAGACCGTTGTACAGAGGTCCCATATAATCTATGTTCCTCGAGTGTGTCCCTTGGGCGACTTCCATCACTTGGCTGGGATTGCTCGTTCATTCCAGAAACACCTACCGGACCTAACGACCCAAACTCGAGTTGTTCGGTATGAGAAGTGAAACCAGTATTATGCTCATATGGATACACCATCACCATATTAGGAACGGTTGAACCATTTGACGATGGTCCACCAGGGTTTGAAGCTGGTAAAGGATACATGCCATAGGCCACATTGGCTTGACCACTTTGACTACTGGCACTTGGATGCAACGAACCGTTTTGGGATTGGTATGTAGGGAATGAATCATGTCTATATGAACTCATCGACCTGTCTGCCCGACTCTCATTAGCAGCCAATCGATCCAACCTTGAGCTTGATTTATCCGTTTGGTTGCGACTGTGGTTGCGGCCAGAACCACGTGGTTTTGAATTAGCATTCCAGTTACCTTCTCTATCGATATGGTTGTCATTTCTATCATGGTTGTAGTTCCCCCTTCGCGAGCCTGAAGAATGACGATCCCTTACCGCAACCTTCTGAAAAAAGGAACGAATAAACCAAAATATAAAACTAAAACTACTAGAAGATTCGGCATTATTTAAGATGGAAAAAATAGGGGTGGATTACGGATAAAGTGTCTTACAGGATTTGGTAAATAGGTCCCTGTGCCACTACGATATCTCGGTAGTTCTTCCACGTAACGCTGGTAAACATTAGGCGGTCTATTGGAAACAGACTGAACCGGTGCAGCAACAGGAACCAGCCGAGGACCATAGTTCATTAGCTGAGTTACTAAATTCATGTTCGGTAGCGGTCTACCTGGGCCATCCCACGGGACACGGCCCTGTAAATAAATTGGTGGTACCATAAGGGGTGAAGGATATACTGTTGGCCCATGTTGTCGTGGACTTTGACAAAACCGACCAAACTGCAGATTCTGCCAATGGCTAGCAAAGTCGCTATTTAGAATATCGGACTTACGTTCATCCTGTGGCCCACCAGGAGCAGCCCCTCTCAAGGAATCAGGACTGAAATCCTCAGCCTGGTCTAGCCCTTCAAGATGAAAATTCTGACCGATATCGCCATTATCCAAACCATCTTCCACACCAAAATGGCTTGTTGATGCATCAGATGGTCCGGGCTGGGATGGAACATTGTAAAATGGAAGCATTGTGAGGAATGGAACCGGTGGCCCTGTGGGATAAAATGTCAACGGCATCGCTCCAGAATTATCCATCATCCTTTGTCGAGAATTAGGACCTAGAATCATTGGACCTATAGGGACCATCGACTCAGACCCACTTGTCTGAGCCGGTTCATAACTCATGTGAGATCTTGGAACATGTATTGGAGCCATGGACTGGGGTCCGAAGCTCCTGTCGGCCGTGTCAGATCCCATACTTGGTGGAGGAAGACAGTCTTGATCATCATCTTCTGACTGCTGTGCAGACGTAGACTCAAACATCGTCTTACCTTTGACGTATCCACTAGAGGACTCAGCAGAGACAACTGCTTTCTTCCCTCGTTTTTCCTTCGTTGACTTGGGGACGGTTGACGGTTCATCCCACGAACTCTCCGAGGAAGTTTTACTTTTTAACGAATTACTGTGAGCAACAGACGAGAATCTTGAACTGGTGGTTCGTTCATCAGAAAAAACATCACTTCCTCGATTATCTTGATATTGGGAATGATCAGAATGACCGTCCCTCAATGGCCCACGTTTTTCCTTGTTATACTTCTGTTGACTTCTGACTAGACCACCAGAACCACCAACACGACGAGGAGGAGGAACATAATTCAACCCAACAGAAGAAGACTGACGTTTATCATCTGATGGAACAATTTCAGAATTCATACGATTAGGTTCAAAGCCTCCGGTGGAGCCCACATCCTGTTCCCTCCTGGAATCATGGTCAGCATCACCAGAACTCATTTCCACAGAATTAAAACTTTCGCTACCAACTTCAATTGAATCTTCAGGGTTTGATGTCACTCCGAGCCCAGAAAAGAAATGAGTTAATTGAGGAGAAACCAAACCATGCGGAAACTGCATTCCAGAGAATGCAGGATCAATCAACGGAAAGTTTGCAGGAACCATGCCAGCAGCCATATTCCTTTGCGCATATCCCATTCCAGCTAGAAAAGATGGCGAGAATGGAAACGGTAAATGACCCGATGCTAAACTCATTGGCATATGAACCTCACTGTTGAATCCATGAAGTGCAGAAGATGCCATCATATTCACAAGATCTTGCTCTTCTTGATGCATCCCCTGTGCTCCAACAGTCGAAGAAATCTCTTCACCCATGGAATGCAAGACTGAATCACGTTGATACAATATTGGACTGTTATTTGAATCAACAGAGGCATCAAACCCGAGATGAGTTGGAGCATGCCTGACAGAAGAGGGATCATCACCCGATGATCGACCAGTATGATTCGGTAACTCAGCTTCAACGTTCTTCCTCCTATTACGATAGCTACTATTTGATCCACCGTGTGTGTCAGTGGGAGCCTGGTTTTTTCCACTTTCAGGTGCTCTGTTAAGCCTACCTTGAGAAGAAACATCATTGTATGTTTCAGTTAGTTCAGGACTGGAACGTGTTCTAGCAAACGGAGACCTTTGAATGTCATTGACCAATTGACCAGGTATTAAATTCTTCTGTCCTCTGTCAGCAGTCGCAGCCTGATTGGACATCCGGGAACTGTTTAAGTTTCCATGACCCTTTTGGGTTTGGGTCTTAACCGTGCTTTCCGACTGATTATTACCATGTTGACGGAATGAATTCCGAGAAACTCGTTCTTCAAACTCACTCTCACGACCAATGAATTCCTTGAACTTTTTGCCACTTGAATTGATCTTCGGGATATCAGTGACAGGCTGATTATCAGAAACCGACAAGTTCAAACGTAGTGTATCAGTACCAGGTGCATCAGGACGGATGCCACTGCCATGCCGTTCCCATGTATTAGTAAAAAACTGATTCACTTCAGCAACTAGATTTTCCTTGGGGCAATCAAGTAATCTTGCCAGCCTTTTGGCCCCAAAAGCGAATGCACTGCGTATCCTGAAAAAGTTACCTGAAAAGAAGATACATATATCATACAACATAACAAGAAAGCATCATGCAAACTGTTTCCATATATAATTTACAATTATTTGTAGGCTTGTTTCATGTATGTTGTATATTCATAGTCAGATTATAAAGATGTTACATATTTTCCATCGTGCAAACTGTTTCCATATATAATGGTATTTAGCCATGCTTCGAAACCAATGTTTTAAGAGCCTTAATTAAAATCAAATCTTGGATATTTTTATTATTTTGGTTCTGGGTATTAGTAGACCATCTTGTTACTGTCCTCGGTTTCTGAGTACTACCCATGTGTTATTGGGTTATTTTCTATTCCTTATTTGGTCATCATGACAATAGGTTTTGACCCACGGGCCACGATATGATTGGAAACTTCCAGCAAATTAGCTACTTCTCATATGATTTGCTTAGGCCTGCAAGAGAAAAGGGGGGGGGGGGGTAGTTTTTCCTTTCCTATTGCTCATAGTCATGCAATAAATTGCTTTGATATCATTCATAGTGATGTTTGGAGGATTACACCTATCGTTTCTCATGCATAATATAAATATTTTGTGACGTTTTATGATGATGGTGGATTTAATTAAATTTTCTTTATTGTAGTCTAGGGTCTTTCTCAGTTTTTAACCTTTCTTGTATGCATCAAAATTCACTTTGAAGAAAGGTTCTTTGGTCTGGTTTTGGTGGAGAATACATGTCGAATACATTTCATGGTATTTTTCAAACTAAAGAGCTATTCTCTCATAATGTTCTTGTCCATATACACATCAACAAAATGATTCTTCACATTGAAAATTTGTCATGCTTGAGATCTAACTTGTGCTTTGTTCCTTAAATCTTCAGTTGCACGTAATTGTTGGGTTTAAGCTTTATTTAAAGTTCATATTTATTCAACTGCCTTCTCAGACTCTAATAAACATCATAACAACTCTGGTTCTGTTTCTTTTCTCAGTTGCCTCCTAATAGATCTCATAAGGTTTCTGCTCATTGTGTTAGATGTGCATTTATGGGGTACTACACTAGCCACAACGATTTTTCTAGTCATGATCATAGTTCAAGAAAATTCTCATACCTCGGAATGTTATTTTCTTTGAAAAACAATATTTCTTTCCTATTCATGTTAACTCGTCACCTAAAAGTCACTATTCCCCCTAATTTTGATGATGGATCAACCAGTAGTAAATGGCTCAAGCATTAATTTGTGTCTCAACTGCATTCTACCATTGTCTCCTTCTGGTTCAACCATACCAACTAGTCCTGCTACACCTACCTAAAGACAATCTACCTGTCTCTTGTCCTCCTCAGTGGCATGGCTCTTATCATATCTCATTAACTGCCTAATTCACATGCCACGAGACAATAACTGTTGGCAAAAATAATTGCAAAAAGAACTTTGGGCTCTTCAAGAGAATAAGAATTGGAACATTTAGATGTAAACCGGGTTCACTTGATCAAACATCGATCCCATGGGTCCTTGGATACAAGGCTAAGTTAATAAACCATGATATGAGGAAAAATTTCTCCTATGGCCAATATGACTAGGGCTAGAACAATTTTTGCTATCTTCATAAGGTTGGCCACTTCAACAATTAGATGCCAATAAGTGTCTTTTCCGCGAAGTGATCCACATCTCCTTCCAGTTTGTTTTCCGTTTCTACTTTATAAGTTTGCAAGTAAAATCACTCATCTGGATTAAAGCAAGCTCCCCGAGCTTGGTTTGAGAAGTTTACCTCAATTCAACTCAAACTTGTACAAGATAGACATAACTATTATATCTTCAAAAAAGTTCCACCAGAATTATCCTCCTAATAATATGTTGATGATATTGACACCACTGGGACTAACTCTTTATTGATTACTCAGCAACATCTTCAAATTCTCCCATATCAATGACTTGTTACTTTAGGCATTTCTTGATTGGATATACACACCAACTCTTCTAGAACTTTCTAGAATAAATACATGCTAATACATGAAAGACTGAATATTCTGACTGGTCTTCAAGATTCTTCACATGTTGATACTCCTCTGGAGGAAAAAGTTAAGTATCAGGTTGACAAGGAAGAACTTTCACATCCTTTGTTAAAACCAATAGCTAACACCACCAATGTGAATTTTTGCGCACTCCCTACGACATCTACACATGAAGGTTCACTGCATCAATTTAATATCTAGAGGGTACTAGTTGTCATGGTTTTTTTCTTTCTTGCCAATTCTTCCATGCACCTTGTTGCTTACAACGATGTAGATTGGGTAGATTGTCCGTTTCTCATAGAGATTCTCTAGTTTTGTTCAAGAGTTAGAAACAAAATTGTGTCTCCGGACCTTCCATTGAATCAGAATATCAGTTACTCTACTGCATGCTCAGTAATTACTTAAGCTTCAGAAGATCAATTGAACCTGGCTTTCCTCGGTGCGATCCCACTTCTCTTTATGCTACCACAACTCCACAAGTGCAATTCAAGTTGCTACTTATCCAGTCTACCAGAAGTGTAGCAAGCATATTGAAGTCGACTACCATTATATTCGATACACTACGGATGCTCTTGTCATTTCTCTTCCACATGTCAACACAGCATAACAAATAGCTAACCGAGTTTCACACAAGACAATGCTACAGGTTCCTTGCAATCAAATTGATGCTTCAAGATAAACCAACATCCACATGAGGGGAATGTTGCCATATATAATTTATGTTACTCTGCACAGATATTGTTTTCTGTCTATTTAATTGATTGGGCACTCACTATCTAGTTCAACTGTTTAACAACACGAGAAAACCATTGTTCAACTCAACATAAAAACCTTAAAACTTTGCCCTCCCTCACTATCTATCCAAGGGATGGGAAGGCAGAGTCTCGTGTCACGATACAAACTTCTCTAGGATTGGGTATACAAAAAAGGGTAGTATAATCCTTGATTTCAGAAAGAAATGGAAAAAAATTCTTGTTGTGATGAATCCTGTGATGTATTGGTAATGAGTATATTCTTTCCAAAGTTAGATTACACGTGTTGTCAGAAAAAAAAATATCAATTTAACATTCAGCCCATAATCTGTGTATATTGTATTTCTTTAGAGTAAAGAACTGCCTATAATCACCGTAATTTTATCTATTTACTGAATAAAGAAGGTTCGCAACTTGTATCAAGTCATTCAAACCAACCATCCATCAAAAAAGCAAACCAGTTGGAAAGACTGGCAAGGATTTTGCACACCAAAATCAAATTGCAGATGAGATTACAAAAAGATATGAGCAAGTTGAAGTAAATATGAGCTAAAGTGAAAATTCAGCCAAAAAGGATATTATACAGTGAACTTGATCAAACAAAGTGATGTCTAACTCATGGTAAACTTCATTTCCACATAAACATGCATACACAAAAAATAACAGCTACACAATTGGATGGACTTGCAGCATCCTTGTTAATACAATTGTCAGGATGTAAATGTGTACTTATTACCTAATGTGCTTTGTAACAAACACTTAAACAATTCTTACCCTCTAATCAACAGTTGTTACAGAGGTAAAACGAGTCATGGCAGTACTATCTGCCAAGGCGCCATGATGACGCCTGCCATGTTGTCCTTACTGCAACTATACATTTACCATTTGAAATTTACATGTGTAGACCTTAAAAAACTTATACGATACCACCATCAAACACAAATATACCAATACTCGAGTTTTCTAATTCATTAATGATGCACAATCTTCTAATTTGTCTATGGGGGTCAGTTTGGTTTCAAAATTTATTTAGAGAAAATGAGCATTATGTTTTGTCCGCTTAAATGCTTTATAGAAACTGCCATGTCAACCTAAATCAAGCATCACTCAAACTACAAGGCCGCCATCCCAGCTCACATCAAGGTGAGCGTACCTCATGCCATTGGCAGCCATCCTAACTCACATCAAGCTGAGCGGACATCGTACCATTGGCCAGCACTGGGACAACAAGGCGACGTCATAATAAGCATGTGTGCAAAGGTCCACTTTTTGCAACTGATCCAACTGTACGTGTAATTATAGGGCTCAACTTCATCTAGTCTTCCCATCTTATAAGCCCTCTAAAATGGCATATTTTACCTGCCCTGATGTCCTTTCTACTATGGTATCTTAATGTTAAGTTTCCTCTTGCTGAGCTTTACATCCACAAATGTTACCTTAACTAATACCTACCATTAGATATTCTAATTACAAATCGTTCCTCATTCTCATATTCTTGACATCTATACGTGTATGAAATGTTTCAGAGATATGATATCCTTTCTTATGATTTAACTTGTCTTCAACTTCTATTTCATGATCTATCGATCAAGTTCCACAAAGGAGTTTTAGGTATGGTTTAGATAATCGTATTGGTCCACATTACTTATTTCAATCTCACCACAAAAAAGAGAAAAAAACAGCAACTCTTACAAGTATTATATCATTCAACATGGTCTCATTGACAGGCATGACAATCCAAAATAGACATCTCTGTGTGTATGTGTTGTAAATGTATTTATGTCTACAACAAGATGATAAAACACTAATACGCATTCAATGTTACAAATAGATCATGTTTGCTCATAAATAACAATAAAAATAAGCATAAATACCTTTACTGACACTACGTCCCAAGTTATTACTCACACGCAATGGATCGATAACATTAAAATGTTTGGAAACAAAAGCTTGCCCTTGGTTGTCCTGGCCACCAGGAAAAACAGCATACACAGAGCTACAAGCATCAAGAAATACTTTGTTAAGTAGCAACTCTCCACTGTCCTTACGAGGAGGCTCCGCTACAATTATTAAAATATATCATCATCAGCAAAAGATAGGCATAATCTAAAGCTGCAAGTGTTATCAATTAAAAAAATTTCATACGCTATTACCAGTCACATCCGGAAGGGAGCTTATCGACACAGGACCCCATAGGCTAACACAAAAATTATCCCAGTCGAAATTACTAAAGAACTCCAGAAAACGGTAAAGCACCTGCAAGTGAAATGAGAGCGTTAATGTGTAAACAAAGGATCAACATATGTATGCGTAAGAGAAAGGTTAGTAAAATAGACAACCTCAAGAGGACCCGCAAAAGAATTGTTGAAAACATGGAATATGTAAAGAACCAAGGTCTCAAGGGCATAAGTTGATATAAGCCCATGATGAGCACCAAGTATACGGCTCTCATAGTAACACCAGGCTTTGATCAGTATAATGCTACGTTTAAACAAATGGTTCTGGTTTATCAAATTGTCAACCTGCACATGTAAGATTTTCATCATAAGGGCACTCGACATAATGATGAGCTGTAAAATAAGATTTGTTACGAATATAAGAACTCTGCTAACCTCCTCAAGAAAGCAAAGTGTGCATAATCCTCCAAGCTGATTAAAGGATATATCTACCACAATGTTTTCAACAAGGCATTTTATAATCTTCACCTGCAGTTTAAAGATCAAGGGTCAAATCATAATAGCATGCAACATCGGACTCCGAGCGAAAAGAACATAAAAGTAAGAAGATAAGTCGGAGAAGGATGAGGTTCAAAGGTAAATAATTTACTTCTTTACTTCAAGGTCTTATTAATTATTTGGTACGCAACAAAATGAGTAATCAATCCCGCAAATAAGAATCTACTTCCAAAAAGCCTCTGATTTTCAATGTACAACAGTAGCCAAGAGCAAATACTCACAGTACTTGTGGAACGGTGCTAAACAAGATTCTCCAGTTTCAGTGACCACTTTTCATTATTTAAACACCTTAAATCAAGTAATCAACCACCAGGCACAGTACTGGCACAGTACTAGCACAGCCAAACCATACCAAAGACATCATTGAATGCATGTCCAAAAGACATCAAGAATTCATATTTATCCATGACATCAAGAATGTGGATGATCCTCCACCCTCGGATGGTAATTCAGAAAGCACAAGAAATTGCAGCAGAACCAAAACATTGACATCAAGCAAGTTGATTGAATCAAGATTGTTCATACTGGGTTATTTGCGAAACTCAAAAAAGCTTTCATCCCAGACTAATGGAGGTGACCTCAGATGATACCCAAGAGATCAAAAACAAGGCAGATAAGTTGAAAAGCACACTCATCTACAAGAAAGTAACTTTCCAATTTCTGAGTAAGAGTTCACAGTTCTACTCCAATCTAGATCTCTTCATTACTTTTGCCCTTGTTAGCATTAGTGTACTCCTACTTCAAACACCCTCCTCTGCTCCACCTTTTACAGATCACTTGTACTCAGCGGACATCCAAAGGTCCATACAGAAGATCACCAAAGAATTGCTGGATATCAAAACTATCTTCTTACTGGCAGCCACATGGCAACGGTTAACCAAATACTCACGCTGTGTTCTCAAAACCTTTTTTACAAAGGGGAGGAAAGGAAAAAGAGGGAAAGAGGAGGAAAGGAAAAAAAAAACGTGTTCTCGAAACTTTTTAGGAGAGAAAGGAAGAGAAAAGGAAGGAAAATAACGATAAGTTTCCTCCCAAAACTTTCCTTACAAATGTGGCAGGAAAGGGAAGGACAGGAAAGAAATTTAAAACCCTTTAAGAAGATCATTAAAATTACAAAACTACCCAACCTTTCATTATAAAAGATATACTTCTAAAAAGTATATTTGCAAAAACAACTATCTTTCCATTCCTTTCTCTCATGTTCAAGAACATGAAAAATTATTTTCTTTCTTTTCCTTCCCTTTCGAGAACACAAATAAAAAAATATTTTCCTTTCCTTTCTTTTCCATCCCTTCCTTCTCCATCCATTTATTTTCTTTTTTTTTCTTCCCAAGTTTAAGAACACAACGTCAAAAGTTGTCAAGATAGGCTACTCAAGAAGATTTATATGCAAGATTAACAAACCAGGATCTAAATTTCCCCAACAGATTTGATTAATCATGCATAGATTTGCTATCACCACATATAACTGACACAAGTGCACAACTACTTGTCCTGGAAAGTGGATTTAATAAAAGCTAGACACGCAACAACTTCAGAGCTTTCATTCTTATTATCAATCAGCAACAGAAAAACATGTGGGTAACAAAAATTAGTGTAGATAATATTAGCCGGTAATATATTTTAGCAGAAGCATTAGAATGCATCGTGGTGATGAGCTTCTTCAAGGAAACTTTAATGCATTTTTAAACCTTATGCAGTGGGAGGATGATACAAAGGGATCATCATTAATGGATTTTTTTTAGGTTATGCAGCAGGATTATAATACAAAGAGATCATCACCCTTCCTTATGTATCGGCCGAAGGAACAAAATTTGGGATTTCTACTTGACTAGAATCCCGGTATTCTAGGTGATATGGAAATACAAGTTCATAAAGAAATCAGCTGGTAAACAAGTTGAGAAAAACATTAAGTCAAGTAAAAATCAACATACTTCTGCTTGGATGTATTGAACCTCCTTCACACGAAATTCGGCATTCTCATTTTTCTCCTCGGTCTCCAACATATCACGGACCTCACTAGCCCAGGAGTCTTTCAAGTTTGCATTGTTACTGAAGGCTGTTAAGTCAATATCTCCATCAGGTAGATATGTTTTAAGGGGTACAGACCCAAAAGTAAAAACCTGCAACATGGAAAGGAATCAGAAGAGCATACCTGATAGCTAATCATTTACACTATTTGGGCAATGACTGAATTTGCAAAAGATGATAACCAAAAAACAAACAAAGTAAGCAGTTTTTAGTCCAATGATTGATATGAACAAGCACTATCTTAATTCTCAAATCTTTCAGCTCCTCTCTCCTTGGGCATTATTAAGACTCTGCTATTGTATAAAGATAATTTTAGTGCCTGTGTGTTCATATGGGCAAACTCTTTAATGACATCTAGTCTTAGTTCGATGTAGGATGACTTCCACCTACACAACACTCTACATTGTTATGGGTCTTCAACATGTAGCAAAAATTTGCAGCCAAGAATGTGTAGATGCAAAGACAGTAGAAATCCTCTCACAACAAGGAGACAAGTTTTGACACAGAGATAGGACAAAAATATGAATTGCCATCAATATCATTTACATTTACAGATCTAGAGAAACTAAGCATACCCTGCTTTCTGGTCTTTACTCGTATTCCTAATGAACCTGCTGCTCTAATATGCAGCCATACGAAAGTTGGTCTATTTATTCAAGAAAAAATCCACTGATCATCAAGGAGCACAAAAAGTATAAAATAAGCAAGTCGCATCTTAGTAACTCTTATCTGAACCACTCCATTATACTCGATAACACTGACGCTTAAAACTCTTTGCAGCAAAACAGAACATGCTAAAAAATCATACAGAAACAGATTCATGCAACACTTTCTTACAAGCAAGTGGATTGTCGGATTGTAGTAACAATACCGAACTTCTAACTTTCTAAAAGCATCAAACTTATAACATAGGGCACGGACAATCAATAGTAAAACAGAGAGGTGAAAAAATATGCTAGACGCTCTCAATTGAGGGAAATTTTTGATAAAGGCTGATACTGCAAAGCAGACACAGGATAACCATCAATGCATATTTGAAGTATAGAACACAAAGGGCCAATAACATATATACAACTAGTGAAAACCAATGTTTCTGTAAAACCAACACTTCATGTTGGAATGACAGATTTCGATATACACATACACATTGTACATGAATTTCACTCCATCACCGAGCAAAAACTTTCAAACTCATTAAGTTATGGTTACATCTCTATTCGTTCGAGTCACCACTTAGCTAACCTTGTTTCCTCTCTAGACTCTAGATGTGATGTTCAATTCTTGTAGTAAAGAGGTAAGATCATAAACATCAGTTTTGAAAAAGATACAAATGGAAGCTACTCTACTTTCAATTGGTTTCTAATTTGGAATGGTTGAAAACCTATCAAAAGGCCGTTGAAACCTGATGATGCAAGTAGCAATACTCCTCCCAACCATATCATCAGAAACAAAGGAAAAACAAGCAGTAGAAAAATCAAGGAAAAAGAACCACCTGGCAGGGAAAGCACTTCATAATAAGCCTTTGTACATAATCAGCAACAGCATTCCTGCGCTCTTCAGATGGCTGATTAGGCTGGATACAGGCAATAAGCTCTGCCGTTCTCTCTTCAGCCTTTAACCATCTAACTGAATCTAAACTTTCTAGCAATGGACCTGCATTGGGCAATAACCCATTTGGCAATAGGCCGCGTGACCATTCCTCATGGTCGCCCATGCAAGACAACTGTAGGCTACTCCACTACACTGGTTCAAGGTAGTCAACGCAATAAGCACCCGAAATTCCCAGGTGAGTCAATCTCCCCTAATACAAAAGTTCAGACTTCTTAATGTCCCCCAAAAAAATTCTGAAGCTTTGCTTGTAAAAACTAAGTATAGACTTCAGATCAAAAAAGATATAATCGCATATACACATATGAGCACCAAAAGTGTATAAGAAACCCTAAAGAGATTATAGTCTAAAGGTGTGAACTTTGATTTGAAAAGAAGAGAGGCAGAAAATTTGTCAAAAGTAACAACAATTCCTTCCTCCCCAGAAACCCTAGAAACAACCCCTACGAAGAGAAACTTGTGGGGAAGTTCAAATGATAAACAGAAACTCTGATCATAAAGATCGGTAAAAAGATTGTCAACAAAACCCTAACACACAAAAGGGTTATATTAGATACCAATCAATCTGGGAACCAACAAAATAAATTGGATAGAATTTATGGATGTCGCTCGGAATTATCAGTAAGGATCATGAAACTTGAAAAAGATAGAGTGTGTGGGTTTGGTAGGAGCACCAATTTGGAGGGTTTTCTATTTGGGTTGGTAAAATCGTATATATAGAGAGAGAGATTAACGTTGCGAGGTTTTGTTTATCTGCAAAATTAGAGAAAGGGTTTAAAACTGCGATTGAAAAAAGGGGATGGTAAATTTGGACATATGATGATAATTGATGATCGGAATCTGGGGGAAAATGGAAATTTCTAATAATACAAAAAAGAAAAATAATTATAAAAGAGAAAATTACAATACAATACAATACAATCAAAGATCAAGAAAATGAAATCATGTGATTTTGTAACAATTAGGGCTAAAACACATGCCAATTAATATCGTGGGATTTATCATTTTGATAAGAACCCTAATTTCTTTTCCCAGTTGGGCCTAAGAATCCTTACTCCAAAGCCCACGCCATATCACAAAAATTAATCAAGATTCAAGAATGATGGTTACTTTTTCACCCAAATGTATCAACATCTTATTATAAATTTTGTTCAGATTTCGTTTATAAATATACGTTTTGAAAAATGATGGGATTTTTCGTAATAACGACAACGGATGCATAATCTCTAACTTTATGTCGGGAATTTCTGTAGACGTCTTTGTTGCGATGTTTTCTTTCTTAATGCATATAACCAATGGCAAACATTTCTTATCATTTAATTTTATATCGTAACTGGTGTTTAACATCCTGATGAAAATAAACGTCAAAACTCATATTATATGTATGGTGGGTGACATAGTCATGTTCAAGAAGGCGATTCAGGATGGTTTCACCCTTAGTCTTCTCCTAACTTGTCACGGTTTATAAAACGAACTTTTCCTTCTTGTTTATGGTCACCAGCCCAATTCGTAATCAGAAGAGATGTTCACTCTAAGGTTTATAATTAATTTAGTTTTTAGTTTCTTGAATTGGCGGGCTTCGTTGTTGAGCAATAGTTTTAAGATGGTTTCTACAATGTTTTGAGACCGTTTTCATTTTGCATATATGATTTTCTTCCAATGATGTTTCAAGTCAAGTGGCTAGCACATCAAGTGGGCCAATCATGTTATCTCAAATGATCAAGTTAAGGGGATTATTAGTGGTTCTATTGTCAACATCGATGAAAGCTCCTAGTTCTACTCCAATCATATCTCATCATCAAATCTTGGTATTCTGAAACTGATTCCGTTATTTTGCAAGCCACTTTAGCAAACCCATCATGTTTTTGCTTCTAGCTATCTGTTTCGGTTGTTTTCGATCATCAATTCAAAATCATACGTGAATGATTAAGGCGTATGGTGTTTAGGGTATGTTACATATTTCGGTGATTCTTCTGGGTCGTTGCAGTGGCATCTTTTAAGTTTCTCCGTCTACAACGAATAAGTTGATGGTCTTGTTGTGGTTATTTAAGTAGGGTTTTTGTGTGGTGTTTGTTCTGTTTTTTTAGTGACCTAGTTTGAATTAGTTCGATCAATTTGAATAAGACAGGTTTCGTAATGAGTGGATTTTCAATATGTTGGCGTCTCAGTTGATTTAGGATTTTTGTTTAAACACCTCGTTTCTTGCAAGAAGGCCTTCTTGCGATATTGCTTAAACCAATTCATAAGGGCGGTCAGTGGACCAATAAATTAGTTATCCCACAAACCGAACTCACTCGTCCGTTCTGATATAGACATGTTAGAACGTAAGAAACGATTTTTTTTCTTCAAAATCTATCTCCGTCCTCCAGCAAGATAGGGCGACTCAAATGTCCAGTTATTCATATTGTCTTGATATGTTATAACACTTATTTTAATAAATATTTCAATTGAATTAGAAACTATTATAACATGTAAAATATATAGTATTTGAATCCATGTGAATGTCATTTTAAATATCAATCAAGTTGTAATTGTTTAAAAGAATTAACATGTTGATTGATAAATAAACCAATACAGAAATAAAAATCCCCTTGTGGCCACAGAGATTTAAATGCGGTGACTTTGGACTATTTGCAAAACAGGTGGTCGTCCCAGGATTAGTCGGCTCGCATAGCGGGTTGGATATCTAGGTTAATAAAAAAAATGATGACATCATAACAAATAATAATATAAAATAATAATTAAAAGTAAAAAGTTAATTTTATGGTTTTGTGTGGTTTTAAGAGAGCGACATGATGTTGGTTAGTTAATAGTTTTATGCAGCATTATGACGTATTAACAAGGTTTTAACGTTTATCTTGTACTTTAACATGTTGATCAATTAGTTGTTAGTTAATTTTTATAGAATTCCAAGATGAAGCTTTAAGAAGTTGTATGTATACAGTAAAAAGTTGTAAACTTGAATTTTAAGACTTTTTAAAAGAAGTTGCGTTAAATATTTTATAATATAGTAAATATATCAATGTGAATAGATGAATGATCGTGTAAGAATAAGAGTTAAAGTGAGAAGCGTAAGAAGAGATCTAGATATTTTGATCACTTTTAATGTTGCCCCCGCTCCATGAATTGCTTTCGATACGAAAAGTGATCTGGTGCATTTCATTATTGTTGATCTTTAATTATGATTGATCTAAGGATGAATATTTCTTCTTACATTTTTCAGTATAACTTTCATTCTCACCATAAACCAACCCTATGAAAATATTGGTGATCAAAATTTTAAAAATATAGTTAAAAACTTGAAAAGGTATATTGATATGGTATTCAATTAAATGGAATAATATGATTATTGTTTTATATATTTTGTTTAATTGAAAAATCAAAATCAATTATAATAAATTACATATTTGGTTTAATTGAAAAATCAATTATAATAAATTACATATTTGGTTCTTGCGGTTAGATGTTTTTTAGCGAATAGAGTCCTTATACTACTTTTATTATTGATTCGGTTTCACTCGTATTCAATTTGTTACGACATGGTCCTACTAAATAACAATGTCCATATTTGACCGTTAAATGAAAGCATTTTGGTATTTTTCTCATTTTATTCTTAAAAAATTATATAATATATATATATATATATGTGTGTGTGTGCGCGCGCGCACGCATATATAAAAATAAAACAGAATAATAGGGGAAAGGAACCCTTTTCTTCTTCATCACGATCCAGCCATACTCCCCCCCTTTAAGGGTGTTTAAAAAAGATTGTTAGACTATTTAAACCGGACCGTTTTTTGTGGTTTGAGCGATCTGACGGTTTGGTCTGGTCTGAAAAATAGTCAAACCATTCGGACTAGTCTGATCTGTGGTTTAAACATATATTTTAACGGTCTAGACCGAAGCAACCGTAAAAAATATACAATATTAATTATATTTAGTTTTCATGTAGTGGGATTTTCATGTAGTGGGATCCACTTTTATGGCTAATTAAAAAGAAGTTCATCCGAGACAATACGTTTTTAATTTTAAATTTTCAACTGAGCGCATTATCTAAATTGGTAAAATTCTGAAATCCGTTAAAACCAAATATAAAGTTTCAAATCTTCCTTCAATTTGCTCAATGTTTGTCCAAACTTCCAATCATTGTTTGTGGAATTGTTTGACTTTTTTCCTAACTTAATATTTTCTTTAATCTTAAAGATAGACGTTTCTTTTATAACTTGGTATCATGTTTTTTTAATAATGTTATACTGATAGAAATTTAATTTTTGGGATATAGATGTTATGTTTTTTTTTTTGTTTAAAACCCATAAGAGGCTTAAACTGCCTAAATCTCATACCAAACGGCTTTTTTGTGGTCTGGTTTAACAGGTTTGGTCATTTGTTGTCAGACCGCCCGATTTGAAAACCTTAGTCATCGTTGCCAACATTGAAGTTTGATCATGGTTTGTTTTTTGTATTAAATTTCTTAGCTTTTTGGCTTTTGTTTCCTGTGGTAAATTTACGGAAGATCATGTGGTGATGGTTGTGGCTACGATGATCGAGGGGAACCATGTGATGATGCTCGATTCATAACATCTTATATGGGTTTTGTTGGCGGTGACAAGGTTACCAGCTCAACATTTAATGCATTTCAACAATATAATTGATTTCATATGATATATGCATAAAAAACCTGTCCCTCTAAATCTATGTCAGGCAAATACTTTATTCATATCATTGGTTGCATCATCGCTAAATCTTACGGTTTCAAAACTCCAACATACGACTGCCTACAGACGCATCCCTTGAGTTTCAATCGCCTGATTTGACGAGCAGGTCATCATTTGGAGGTTTTCCCTTCCACTAGTTGAGTAGCCCCTGCAATGCAACAGGAAACCAAGAATAGAAATCTAATGGAACTGTTCATTAGAAAATGTGAAATTTATGTTTGAATAAAATAAAATTACAACATATTATCTCTTAGGGGCCGTTTACCAAAGACTTAGCCGATAAATGCTTACCCGTAAAATTCAATACTATTAGGGGCCGTTTACCAAACGCTTACTCGGGAAAGTGAACATCAAGTCACATTACCTTACCGGATGAATATGATAAGGACCAAAAAATCTTACCCAGTAAGAGCGAGACAAAGACCAAGAGTCTTACCCAGTAAGTGAGGGCGAAGACTCTTACCACGGTAAACGCTTACCGGGTAAATTGTTGCATATGATACCGTTTTGGTGGACTAAAATGTTACCCGATAAGTAAATGATAGTTTTAAAGTTTACCGATAAACGCTTACCGGGTAAGTGTTTAGTGAACGACTCCTAAATGTATTATATTATACAAATAATATATATTCTATATGGATCAAATTGAGCTTTTTTACGAGTAACTAAACCTAATACGGGTTTGTAGTAAAATCAAATGAGGTCTTTAAAGATAGAAAGTAAGTTAAATACATTTACAGTATATGAAACTGAGATAAATAAAACCGATTATATGACTTACGTAGGCAAAAACAATCAATGATAAACATTTCTTTTTAGTGTTAGTATGGCTGTGATGATCATAAGCATTTTGATTGTGATCATTCTAAGAAACAGATGACGGCAAGGGCCATAGATGTGCTTACTAAGAAGTAAGAACACACGAGCATTCACACCAACATTTGACAATTTATCTGACATAAGTAGAAAGTAAGATTTGTGAGCTTCTTGTAAGTCTTAAATTGTGGATTTTTGGACATTGAGCCTTTATGTAAGCATACATCATATGAATGCATGCATACACATATGCATATATAATATATAGAGAGATGTTCATTTGAGAAGTGGTAAGTATTTGAGAAGTAAAGAAGTAATCTTAGC